CAATTGAAATGGAGAGAGACGAGAGAACACTGAGATACAGAGCGGATCTAGGTGTCTTAGTGCATGAATTACAAAAAATTATTGTGTAGAATTCACCAAGTGATTAAGAAGATAAATGAAATTATACTTGTCATTAGCGAAATGGAATATGAAAGTAAGGAACTTTTGCTTGAGTCATAAAGCCATAGAGATGTACAGCATGAAAGCACACCCTTCAGTCCAAGTCATCCATGCCGACCAGATATTCTGAAGAAATGTAGTCCCCTTTGCCAGCATACCCCTCTAAACCCATCCTATTCATATGCCCACCCACATGCCTTTTAAAATGTTGTAATTGTACAAGCTTCCCCCACTTCCTTTGGCAGTTCATTCCATACATGCACCACCCCCTGCATGAAAATATTGCCACTTGGGTCCCTTTTAAATCTTCCCCTCTCTCACCTTCAACCTATCCCCTCTAATTTTGGACTCCCCCCTCCAATCGGGGAAAAGACCTTGTCTATTTACCCTATCCAAGCCCCTCATGATTTTATAAACCTCTATAAGGTCACCCCTCAGCCTCCTATGCTCCAGAGAAAATAACCCCAGTCTATTCAGCTTCTCCCTATAGCTCCATGCTTCCAATCCTGGCAACATCCTTGTAAATCTTTTCTGACCCCTTTCAAGTTTCATAACATCCTTCCTATAGCAGGGAGACCAAAAACAGCATAACCAATATCCTGTGCAGCGCAACATGACCTCCCAACTCCTATACTCAATGCACTGACTAATAAAGACAAGCCTACCAAATGCCTGTGACTCCACTTTCAAGGAACTAGGAGCCTGCACTCCAAGGTCCCTTTGTTCAGAAACACTCCCCAGGACCTTACCATTAAGTGCATAAGACCTGCCCTGATTTGCATTTCCAAAATGCAGCACCTCACATTTATCTAAATTGAACTCCATCGACCACTCCTTGGCCCATCGGCCCATCTGATCAAGATCCCACTGTACCCAGAGCTAACCTTCACTGTCCATTACACCTTGAGTTTTGGTGTCCTCTGCAAATTTTCCAACCATACCTCCTATGTTCACATGCAGAGATGAAAAGCGGTGGATGCCAGCTCCAGTCCTTGTAGCACATCGCTGGTCACAGGCCTCCAGTCTGAAAAGCAACCCTCCACCATCACCCTCTGTCTCTTACCTTCGCCAGTTTTGTCTCCCCATGTGAGAGACTAGATCAAGGGGGCAAAGTTTAAAACTAAGGGGTTCTCATATAAGTCACAAACTTTTTTTCACCGAGGGTTAACAGTCAATGGAGCTCTCTTCCACATAGTGGTGAGGCAAGGCCATTGAATATTTTTAATGAAGAGGTGGATTCTTGACTAACAAAGGGTCCAAAGAATATTCGGAATAGGCAGGAAGATAGAATTGAGGCAGTCGGAACAGTCATGATTGAATTGAATGGTGGAGCAGGCTGTAGGGACTGAATAGCCTACTAATGTGTGTTCATTAAAGAAGAAACCAGACCTTGTATTTTTTTCTTTTTTGTTAGGCAGACAGGAGAGATCTGTGATTTTTATTTGAGGAGGAGCCAGAAATTATTCATGTTTGTTTCTTCTGACTAGTAGGATTTGCTAAAGAAACAAACATATGAATAATTTCTAGACACAATTTTCCACACGCACAGCCATGCTAACTATCCCTAATCTGTCCTTGCCTTTCCAAATGCATTTAGATTCTGTCCCTTTTTGAATCCCCCCCCAACAACTTAATTACCACGGACATCAGGCTCGTTGGTCTGTGGTTCCCTGGCTGCTCCTTGCAGCCTGTCTTAAATAATGACACAACACATTAGCCACCCTCCAGTCTTCTGGCACCACACCTGTGGTTCTTGATGGTACAAATATCTTTGCTAGCTTCCCACCGTGTCCTGGGATATACTTGACCAGGTCCTGTGGATTTATCTATCTACATGCATTTTAAGACCCCCAACACCACCTCTTCTGGAATGGTGAAGTCTTTTCAAGCCATCAGTATTTACTTACCTGAGTTCTGTAGCTTCCGTGTCTTTCACCATGGTAAATACTGATGGGAAATATTAATTTAGGATTTCATCCATCTCCTTTGGCTGTGCACATAGACAACCTTGTTGGACTTTGTGGAGCTCTGTTTTCTCTCTAGTTACTCTTTTGCCCTTAATATACTTGTAGAATCCCTTTGGATTCTATTTTACCTTATCAGCCAAAGTTATCACATTCCCTTTTTGCCCTCCTAACTTCTCGCTCCTTTGTACTCCTACATCCCCTATACTCCTCAAGGGATTCACTTGAACCCAGCTGCCGATACCTGACACATACCTCTTCCTTTTTCTTGACTAGTGCCTCAATATGTCAAGTCATCCAGTGTCCCCTACTCCTGCTAGCCTTGCCCTTCTCACTAACAGGAACATGCTTGCCCTGAACTCTTGTTATCTCACTTTTTTGAAAACCTCCCACTTGCCAGGCATTCTTTTTACCTGTGAACAGCCTCACCCAATCAAGTTTTAGAAGTTCCTAATATGATCAAAATGGGCCTTACCCCAATTTAAAACTTTGACTTGTGAACCGGGCCTATCTAATTTATTAAAACTAATAAAATTATGGTTCCTGGTCCCAAAGTGCTTCCCCACTAACACCTCAGTCACTTGCCCTGCCTTATTTCCCAAGAGGTGGTTGAATTTTGCCCCTTCTCTAGTAGGGCCGTCTACATTTTGATTGAGAAAGTTTTCCTGAACACACTTGACAAAATCCTCTCCATCCAAGTCCTTATTGCTATGGCAGTTCTTGCATCAAGGATGGCATCTTAAGAATTTCACGCACCTTTAGTAAGAAGTTAATTATGAGTGCTTCAGGATATTTTGAGGATGTGGTCAGGTTCTTCAGAATGCAATTTGCTTCTGTTTGCAATACTGGAAAATCAATTCGGACCCCTAGGCACTACAGACGATTTGGTAGATAAATCGTTTTCAAAAGGCCTACATGTTTAGTAGCAGGGAACTGAGATGAACAGAACTGACAGTATAACACCAGGTTAGTGCAAGGTTAATGCAGAAGATACTGAGCTTTCCAATGTTGAAGGACATGGTTAAGCCATACTATAAATGTATTTGATGATATTTCATTAAATAGCATTTGGAATTGACGGAATTTTAATTGTGTTTGTGTTTCAGGTCGCTGGCAGGAAAGGTTTCCCTCATGTGATCTATGCCCGACTCTGGCGCTGGCCAGATTTGCATAAGAATGAACTAAAGCACGCCAAATTCTGCCAGTTTGCCTTTGACTTAAAATATGACAGTGTCTGTGTCAACCCATACCATTATGAGAGGGTCGTCTCACCTGGAATTGGTGAGTGGTGAAGTGTGTTATTAGCTTTTACAGAATTCACAAAGAGCCCAAAAGTGCAATAATTTAAAACTGCTAACCTCGCACCTATTTGTTCCCATTCCGTAAGTTTTCTTGAACTCTCTGATGTTACCAGTGAATTTCTGCTTTGGGAAAAGAGAAACACTTGGGCATACACTGCTGTCATTTTATTGACATCTCCAACTTAAGTATTCAGCATTCTGGAAAATTAGGTGAGAAAGACCGACATCAAGAATTAAATGTTTAGTTAAAGCTCAAATTTTGTAGGCAGAAGATAAACTGAGGAAGCTAAATTCACAGCTTTTAGTTTCTAAGAGATTGAGCTGGATGTAATCAATTGTACAAGTTCTTGAGTCATCACCTGAAAGAATCACTGAATGGAGCAAGTGGGGAACCTTGGAGTTGGAGGGACCAGCCACAGCAGAAATATTGACTTAAAATGAAATTCCATAACCATGGAGATGGCTTATTGAGAAGTGCATGATACTAGACCCCAAAAAACAGATTTTGGAGTTTCCCAGATAAAGAATTGGATTGTTCCAATTGTTCAAAGGTTGAAGTCACGGAGTATTTATTGTAGCAAACCTGGCAAATGGGCACATGAACAATCATAATGAAAACCATGAAATTAGCCAGAACTCTTAAAGAAGATAAGTGTTGACAGTTTCGAGAACGCTCTATGTAAAAGAGCAGAACAGGAATTAGCAAAGTCACTGGTTAAGACCTCCGTATTTGTGAGAAGGAAATATGAACTGTAAGGGGAACAAAATAGATCATTGTGACCGAGATAATTTTGGTGTTACATTCCCTCCTAACAATTTTCATAGGACAGCAGGGTTGGTTTTGAACTGTGTTCAGGGAAACACTGGGATGTTGATGCTGGGTGAAAATCCCACTCAGTTGCTAACTTTGAGTTGTATCTCAGGAACATATGGAGAATCTGATTAGCTGCAGAGTGAAGCTGTTGACTGGCTTTTTTCATGGTGCACAAGAGTATTACTTTGTAGTTGGCCACAGATAATGGCTGACTGGAAGTATGAACTGTCCTGTCTCTTTCTGCTGCTTTCTCTTCCTTCAGACTCCAGTAGACACTAAAAAGTCTCTATTTTTGTTTTGCAGGTGTCAGTCTTCAGAACACAGGTTAGTATTTCAAATTACTTGTTTGAACTTGAAAGTGTTTTTACATACATTGTTGAGAGTGTCTCAACAAAGTTCTGTCACTGTGGCGAGAGAGTTTATGCAACCTCTATACTGATAGAGGAGCACTGTGGATTATTGCTTAGTAAACCTACATCAATGGCTGTGTGGAGAATAAAAGCTGACGGAGTTTAGATAGAAGAACAGCTTTGAATTGGTACTTATGTGGCTCAAGTGTTTTCCTAAATCAAAAAAAGCCAAGTGACATAGTTAATGTTGCAGCAAGGACATGTCTCATGTTGAAAAAGTTCTAGGAACACATGATTCCAAGGTAATTCAAAGCAATGTTATGGCCTCAAGCCACAGAAGACCATATTACAGTTGATGGCCAAAAGCCTGGTCAAAAACTTCTGTGCAATAAAGGACAAAAGAGAGAGGCTTCAGAGAAATTCTAGAGTTTGGGACATCTTGAAGACATGGCCATCAATGGTGGAGCAATGAAAATTCAGGACACTGAAGCCAAAACGAAATTGGTTCACTGTCTTGCAGGGTTTTGGGGCTGGAGGATATGAGAGGAATGGGTGAGACCATTTCAATTTCAAATTTTTCACATTATACTCCATTTGGCAGATATTTGCCCACTCACTTAACCTATCTGCCTATTTATCTCTCTATATGTCTCTTTGTAGCCTTCTTTTGTCCTCTTCATGCTTTACTTTCCTCCTGTCTTTGTCATCAGTAGATTTGCAAACCATACCTTTGGTCTGTTTTGTTGTTATGCCTCAGCTAGTTTGAAGTATACCTTTTTAAGAGACATGCTTATGATGGCATTATCATATCAAAGCATATGACCTGAAGGTATGAAAGCCTTCGCTGTATCTTAAATAGGGCATGGCACACTGATGGAAGCATGCTGTTATTGGTTTTTGTTAGTATTAGCCCAAACATGAAGTCAAGTGACAGTAATATATGTATCTAAGTACCATGTTACCACATCTTGTGATATGGGAACTAACATCAACATTGCTGCATCAGGCACAGATACTGTACTGGAGGCAAAGCCCACACCACAGTAGGAGATCACCTTCACCCAAGTCACATATAGTAAACCATTGAGGTCCCAACACTGTTCACTGTGGCCAGTCATTACGTCTTGCCATTCTCTCTGGTTTCTGTTAGCCAGCCAATCTTCTATCCATGCCAATATGTTAACCTCCTAAACCATAAGCTTTTCTTTTCCACAAAAGCATTTATCAAATGCCTTCTGGAAACCCAAGTACAAAATAATCACTGATTTCCCTTTTATCCTCAAAGATTCCAATAGATTGCTTAAACATGATTTTCTGTTCACAAAAGCATATTGACTCTGCCCAATTGTTTTTTTTTCCAAAGTGCCCTCCTTTTTGCCATAACAGCTTCTAAGATTTTCTCTAAGACAGATTTTAAGTTAACTCAGCTGTAATTTCCTGCTTTCTTTCTCCAGGGTTCTCAAGAAATTATACTTGACACCTTCTAATCTAATGGGACTTGACCTAAATCTAGGGAGTTGTGGAAAATTAAAACTAATGCATCAACTATCTCACTAACTACTTTTTGCAAGACCCAAGGATGAGGTCCCATTAAGACCACGGATTTGTTAATCAGCAATTCCAACAATTTACACAGTCCTACTTCCTTGGTGATTGTCATTTTCTGAATTTTGGAAAATGCAATACACCACACTATGTTTCACCTTTGTCTATACTACAAGCAACATTCTCAGAAATCTTGAGTTTATCGAACATGATTTCCCTTTTTTGAATCCATCCTGACTGTGCCCCATGTTGCCTTTTTTTGTCTAAATATTCAGTTATCATAACCTTTATAGTAGCATTTTAACGTTTTCCCATTGAGAGATATTAAGCCACTAGGTCTGTAGTGCTTTGTTCTCCGTCTCCCTCTCCCTCTGTCTCATCTCAAATAATGAGATTACGTTTGTTTCTTTCCAGAATTGTTTTTGGCAAATGGGTAATACTTAAATGGGAGAGGAGAGGAGAGGAAGAAAGTTTCATTCTGGAGATCAAGTAAATGATGGAGGATGATGCATTGAATATTGACAGTTGGAAGCTGCTTTTGTCGGGAATGGGTTATACCCAACCTAGTTACAGGCTGGCAACAACTAATGAAGTGATAGCAAAACCCCCAAGATACCATAGTCCATCATGGTTTAAGTTGTGACATAACTATTTTTCACACCTGTCTTAAGTCCTAGATGCTGTTTCCTTCTGCTTTTTACTGTCTGGTCATCAACTGAATGTAATCTAAATTATTTGCTTGGTTATGTGTTAGCTCCTCCTACTCGTTTGGTGAAGGATGAATTTGTGCATGAGTGTGTGCAACTTGATAGACCACAAGTCATGCCGCATGCTGAGGAACATAGGCTTCAGCCAGTCAAACACCCGACTAACGCACGACCATCTTCTGAAACCTACGTACAGCCCCTCCCGGCTCCAGTACTTTCCTTACCAGAGACATCCAGAGCCACTGTGCACAGCTTTCCCAACATTCCAATGTCATCTCCTCGTGAGTACATTGTTTTACTGGCTACTCTTTTGTACTATAATTCCTGAATAATTTTGTTCAAGTGCTAATGGATTAAATGCTATGGGTCAAAAATCAACAGAAATGCTTTAAAGATTTTGTCAAGCTGCTATGTTAACATGATATGAGGTACCGCAGGATAGCAGCTGTTGAGAATCTCCACAGAGAGCTGCCGAGTGTGACTATGAAGAGGCCAGAGCCAACTGAGGATATGGAGAATATACTGCTTACTGCTGATTATTGTAGAGAACTTTTGTGACAGCTTACTTCTGGTTTACAATTAGTCAGATTCTGTACCATTCTGCCATTATAATTCACATAAATAGGACTAATTAAGTACTACTAATATTCAGCCCAACTTCTCTTCTGTGCATCTTATTCGGGTATATTTCCTTATTGCCTTCCAGAAATAGAAAGCATGTCCTAAACTGCTTGCTGTGTTTTGGAGTGGTATACTGAAAGTGGAACTCTGTCTCCTCACCCTGTCTCTGACTCCCTCTTGTGTGCTGTGTATGCTTGCCTGCTGCCTGTATGTCTCTGCTTTCTATGTCTCGATCCTGATGGGAAGAGTGCGCTGTTAACCAAGCGCCGTTATCCCATGAGCAGTCACAAATGTATAAATGACCAATTGAATCACTGAGATGTTTGATTTGCCTGACCTTGACTGCTATCTGGGGCAAAAGAAACTCGCTCCACGTTTTTTAATAAAAGAAAAAAAACGTTCTTACTATAAATAAGCTTGTCTTTTAACAAGCAGTGAAGCAGATTATTGCCTACTACGATGCAACTTGAACTATATCCCCTCTAAAACCAAACACACAATCTCGTAATTGCAACAAACAGTACTGTAGAAATACTGTGGTGAAAAGGACGCAAAAATGAACAAATCGAAAATCTAAACCACGGGGGTGGAACGAGGTGGCTTTTTCATTATTCCTTATCAACTATACAAGAATAGACAGCCCACAATTGATTAGCTGGTCAGTTGGATCAACAGCTTTACTTGAGTTAGAAGTTCTTCGTTTTGAAGTCTGAGTGTTTATTTACTCTGAAGGTGAGAAAAGGGGAGAACAGTCTTTTCTTTTGGGTTTCTCAAGTTTTCAACGTTCTCTCAGGTCTGTGACAAATTGTGACTTTAAAGTCGAGACCTGTTGCTAGGCAGCTTTTCAAACCAAACACGCCTTGTATCTTGAATCATTTTCCCATACAGAAGTATTAAATCAAACTTTACCAAAAGTGGCATGACCTGGTGTAACCGATAAATGAACACTACATAGTTCCACCTCTGATTTGCAAGTTGTGATTTGTAAAAAAAAAACTTGATACATTCTGTGCAATCCAGCAGTGTCCAAACTTCCATAAATCCTAGTTTATATTTCAAAAAATACATGGAGTCTTTAGAGTCACAGAACATAAGAAATAGATCCAATAAGGCCAGTCTGCCATTCAGTGAGATTATCTACATCAACACTATTTTCCTGCAGTATCCCTGTATCCCTTGTTTTTAACATCCAGAAATTGAGCAAATTCAATTTTGAGCATACGCTAGAACTGAACATCTGCAGTCCACTTGGGCAAAGAATCCCTTCAGAGAGCGAGGAAATTTCTCCTTATCTCTGTTCTAAATTACCTGTCTGTTTGTTCTGAGATTGCCCCCTGTTTCCGAACACACCTCCAAGCCAGGGGAAGCATGTTTCTTCACTTCTCAAGTTGATTCATGTATGAACAAACAATAGCAGAGGAAAACCCTTCAATCCCTCGCTGCACTGGCTATCATTCGATAAAGTCATGGCCTTAACTCTACTTTTTTGTCTGCCCTAAAACCTTTGACTCCCTCGTCAATTAAGAAACTATCTCCTTGCCCCCACTGTTGTGTGAGAAAGAGAGTTCCATTGGCGAACGACCTTCCAAGGAAAACAAAATCTCTTTATTTCCATTCCAAATGGGAGACCCTTATTTTAAAATTCTGTCCTCTCACAAGGAGAACTTGCCTCTCAGCACCTAGCCTGTCATATCACCCTCAGGATTGTGAACTTTACAATAGGATCAGCTCTCGTTTTTCTAAATTCTGAATACAGACCAAACTGGTCCAACCTTTCCTTATAAGAATCCACTTATCCCTGCAGTCAGTTGAACAATCCTTCTCTGAGCTGCTTAGAATACAACCCTATTCTTTCCCAAGTAAGGATATTAAAGCTGTATACAGTCCTCCAGATCCGGTGTCTCATGTCTGTACAATTGCAGCCAAATTTTCCTTTTATGTTAAGCTCCATGTTTTCTAATCACTTGCTGTACCTGCATGCTAACTACTTTTTAAGTGATTCATGCTCCAAGGCACCCAGATATCTCTATCTCACTGTTCTGTAGTGTCTCTACATTTTAATAATATGCTGCTTTTCTATTCTTCCTGCCAAAGTGTTCACATTTCTCCACATTATACTCCAACTGCCAGTTATTTTGCCCACTCACTCAGTTTGTGGACTCTAAGTTCTCTTCACAACTTACTTTCCCACCTATTGTGATGTTATCAGCAAATGTATCAGTCTTTAATTTGGTGTGTTCATCCAAGTCATTGATATCAGTTATAAATAGTTGATCCCAGCAGCAGTTTCTTTATTCCTCTACTTGCCAAGATAAAAATGACCTACTTATCCCTAATACCTGCTTTCTGTTAATCAATTCTTGATATATGCTAATATACGACTACTCACCAAACAAGATTTTGAGGTGGTAAGCAATGTACGATGTGACACATTATCAACTGCCTTTTGGAAATCCAAGTACAGCACATCTACTTTCTTTGTTACTTCCTCAAATAACTGTACTAAATTAGTGAAGGATGATTTCCCTTTCACAAAATTGTCCTGATTTCAATTGCAACAAGATTCTCTAATTGTCCTGCTGCTCCATTTTCCTTGTTACAGATGTCAGCTAACTGGCTCATTGTTTCCTCCCTTCTATCTCCCTCCTTTTTTTTTTGAATACAGGAGTCATGCATGATATTTTCCAAACTGTTGAGACTTTTTCAGAGTAAAAGAATTTTGGAAAATTTCAACTGAAGCATCTGCTATCTCAGCAGCTACTTTTAGGACCCTGGCATGCAGGCCACCATGTATGGAGACATATCAAACTTTAGTTCTCATTATTTTCTCAGTATTTTTCCCCAGTGACTAATTGTTTTACGTTTCTCTGTACCTTTCATCTCTTGGTTTATAAGTATTTCTGAGATGTTACTCGTGCCTTCTAGCATTGAGGAGGCAATGGCCTAGTGGTATTATCGCTGGACTGTTAATCCAGAGACCCAGATAATGTTCTGGAGACCTGCTTTCGAATCCTACCAAGGCAGATGGTGGAATTTGAATTTGATAAATATCTGGAAGTAAGAGTCTAACGATGACCGTAAATCCATTACTGATTGTTGGAAAACCCATCTGATCACTAATGCCCTTTAGGGAAGGAAACTGCCATCCTAACCTGGTCTGGCCTACATGTGACTCCAACCCCACAGGTTGACTCTGAACTGCCCTCTGGGCAATTAGGGATGGGCAATAAATGCTGCCTAGCCAGTGATACCCTCATCCCTTGAATGAATAAAGAAGACAAACCACAAAATATCTGAAAAATAAAGCAAAGAGCTGCAGATGCTAGAAATCAGAAACAAACTCAAATTGCTGGAGAACTGAATAAGGGTCACCGGACTCAAAACATTAATTCTGTTTTCTCTCCACAAATGTTGCGGAACTGCTGAGTTTCTCTAGCCATTTCTGTTTTTGTTACAAAATATCACCTCACGTGCCCACCGGTTCCTTATTTGGGAAAGGAGTAATGCATTTCAAATATCTTGATTGAAGAATTACTTGAATGTTTGAAAACGAAATACAAATGTAAGTAACTCACTTTTTGTTTCTCTCCCTCTCTCAGCTGCCAACAATTCTCTCATTCCTATGAATCCCAGCGAGGGTTTATTACAGATTGCCCCATCGCTGCAACAGATGGCACCTCCCCCAACTCCACCTCCCCCTGCACCCCCCAATCCATCTCAGCAAAATGGATATCCACCACCAAAACAGCCTTACCAGAGTAAGTACCCGTCCCTTCAAAGGCTCTTGGAAATGAAAAATACTTGGCGAGATTATTTCTCTCATTTTTGAACTGTATGGAATGTTGGAATTTACAGATGTGACCATTTATTAATTATGATCCAATTCTTTCAGAAGCAGATTTGCTCATGTTTGCGATCGTGTGAAGTTGTTTGAACATTTTAAAACCACTGGCAGCATGTGACAGCTACAGTGTGTCGAGTTTTATCCAGGTCTTCTCTTTCAAGTAAAAACAGAAAATGTTGGAAATATGCAGCAGCTCAGGGCACAGCAGTGAAAAGAGAAGCAGTTAGCATTTTAAGTCGAATGCCCTTGTCAGTTCTGTCTAATGGACAATGATCTGGCGTATTAGTTCTGTTCCTGTTCTCTCATGTTCCCTGATCTTCTGACTATTGCCAGCAGTTCTGCAGAAATCTTGACTGAAGCTGAATGTATAACACAGTTGCTCGATAGCTTGAGCACTACCCCAGTCACCAATGTAAACATGCACTGTATCCACTACCAGCGCAGTGAAAGCAGTTCGAATTACATGCAAGATGCACTGGAGCAGCCCACCAAGGCTCCTTTTGTCAGTTTCCAAACTGCAACTGTTGCTACTTACAGGGACAAGGGCAGGCAATGCATGGAAGCAATAATCTGCAAGTTCCCCTCCAAACTAAACACCTTCCAACTTGGAACTTTGTGTTTCATCATTAACGCTGTTGCTGGATTAAAATTCTGGAACTCCCTTCCTAATAGCATCTACACCAGATGAATTACAGCAGTTTGGGAAGACAGCTCACCACCTCAGGGGCAATTAGGGCTCAGTAACAAATGTTGACCCTTGACGGAAACACCCACATCCTATGGAAGAAACTTCATGAAGTGTTCTGTCATTGTTTTGCTGAAATAATTCATGGAAAGGTGTAATTCTGGTTATGTTTAATTCAGTTGCAACAGTTTTAAAGCTATGTTTTCATTCCATAGATACGACAGCAACTTGGACAGGCAGCAGCACAGCTGCTTATGCACCAAACGTGGTGCCCCAGCAAAATGGGCATGGGCATGGGCACGGGCACGGGCACCATCAACCAGCAGTGCACCATGCCAGCCATTACTGTGAGTACATCCTGCTGTCTGTGTTACATCTGAAGTACTTAGCTCAAACTCCATCTCACTGAACTTTTCAAATTCAACCATTCATTACAAACACACTTTTCAAGTAGTCAGTCCTTCCCACCCATTCTGCATTGCCTCGTTATAGAAATGGCACTCCGTATAAGGACTTGCCAGTAACTTGGTTTCCTTACAGTAGACTATATTTTATCTACTCTAGCTGCACATGGTTGCTATTCTAATTCGTAGAACTATTGAATTGCTGGTCAAACTCTGCAGATTATTTTTAAGGATTCATCCAGTGGAGAGAAATAAGAAAGGGCTCCCAATAGTCAGCGAAAAATTGAGGTGCAAATAGGTAGGGAGATCAGAGTTAGCTGCAAGATTGTAATTGTAGGGGACTTTAACGTTCCAAGCATCGAGTGAGACTGCCATAGCAATAAGGGCTTAAATGGGGAAGAATTTGTCTAGTGTGTTCAGGAAAACTTTCTCAATCAATACGTAGGTGGCCCTATGTAGACAGGGCAAAACTCAAGCGCCTCCTGGGAAATAAGGCAGGGCAAGTGACTGAGGTGTTAGTGAAGGAGCTCTTTTTGGACCAGTGACCATAATTCTTTTAGTTTTAAAATACTTGTGGACCAGGCCTATCCTTTTCCATAAGTTAAAAGTTCTAAATTGGAGCAATGCCAATTTTGACTATATTAGACAGGGACTTTCAAAAGTTGTTTGGTGGAAGCATCTGGCAAGTGGGAGGCTTTCAAAAGCAAGATAATGAGTTCAGGGCCAGCATTTTCCTGTTAGTGAAAAGGGCAAGGCTGGTAGGAGTAGGGATCGCTGGATGACGAGACATATTGAGGCCCTGGTCAAGAAAAAGGAGGAGGCATATATCATGTATAGGTAACTAGGATCAAGTGAATCCCTTGAGGACTATGGTGAGTGGAGGAGTACACTTAAGAGGGAAATCAGGCAGGCAAAAAGGGAGCAAATCCAAAGACATTCTGCAAGTATATTAAGGTCAAAATAGTAACTAGGGAGAGAAAAGAGGCCCATAAGGATCAACAAGATTGTCTGTGTGGAGCCACAGGAGATCCCCAATGAATATTTCTCATCAGTATTTACCATAGCGAAAGACATGGAGGCTAGGGAACTCAGAAAAAGAGTCCCAATTTCAGAAGAGGTGGTGCTGGAAGTCTTAAAACATATTGGGAAGCTAGTGAAGAAATTGCAGGGCCCTGAGCAGAGAAATTAGTATCATCGACAGCCACAGGTGATTTGCTGGAAGACTGGAGGGTGACTAATGTTGTGCCATTATTTAAGACAGGCTGTAAGGAAAAGCCAGGGAACCACAGACCGATGAGCTTAATATCAGTGGTGGGTAAGATGTTGGGATTCTTAGAGACAGGATCTACATGCGTTTGGAAAATCAAGGACTGATCAGGGATAGTCAGTATTTCTTTGTGCATGGCAAATTGTGTCTCAAATTTGGTTGAGTTTCTTTTTGAAGTGGTGACAAAGAAGATAGATGAAGGCAGGGCGGTAGACATTGACTACATGAATGTTAGCAAGACCTTTTGATAAGATTCTGTATGGTAGACTGATTAGTAAGGTTACATCGCATGGGATCCAGGGAGAACTAGCTGACTCGATACTGAAATTGTCTTAATGGAGGAGACAGAGGGTGGCAGTAGAGGGTTGTTGTTCAGACTAGAGGCCTGTGACCAGCAGAGTGCAGCAAGAATCAGTGTTGGGTCTGCTGATGCTCGTCATTTTACATAAATGATATGGATCAGAATATAGGAGGCATGGTTAGTAAGTTTGCAGATGACACCAAAACACCAAAATTGGTGATATTAGTGGACAGTGAAGAAAGACTAAAACAGGATCTTGATCGAGTGGGCTGAGGAATGGTCCATTGGAGTTTAATACAGATAGATGTGAGGTGTTGCTTTTTGTTAGGACAAACTAGGGCAGGACTTGCACAGTTCATGGTGGAGCCCTGGGGAGTTGAACAGAGACCTGGGGGTGTCGATACATTGTTCCTTGAAAGTAGCATCACGGTTGACAGAGTGGTGAAGAAGGCATTTGGCACTCTTACAGTGCATTGTGTACAGAATTTGGGGCACCATGTTATAGCTGTACAAGACACTGAGGGCCCATTTGGAGCACTGTGTACAATTTTGGTCGCCCTGCTTTGGAAAGGAAGTTATTAAACTGGAAAGGGTGCAAAAAGATTTTCATGTTACCGAGACTGAAAAGTTGTAAGTAGAGGCTGGATAGGCTGAGACTGTCTTCCCTGGAGCAGAAGGGGCTGAGGGGTGACCTTAGAGGTTTAAAGTCATGAGGGGCATAGATGAAGTGAATAGCCGTGGTCTTTTCCCCAGGATAGGAAGTCCAAAACTAGAGGGCATAGGTTTAAGGTGAGAGGGGAAAGATTTAAAAGGGACCTGAGGGGTAACTTTTTCAGAGAAGTTAGTGCATATATGGAGCAAGCTGCCAGAGGAATTGGTAGAAGTGGGTACAGTTACAACATTTAAAAGATCATTTGGACAGGGACACTGATAGGAAAGATTTAGAAGGATATGGGCCAAACACTGGCTAAAGTGTTCAGTTCAGTTTAGAAAACCTGGGCAGAGTGGATTAGTTGGGCCAAAGGGTCTGTTACATGTTATGTGACTCTGACTATTATCTGGAGGCTTAATGTTTCAGATCAAGTGATCTTTCAGCAGGCTGATGTTTTTATTTTAGATTTGCAACATCCACGGTATTTTCTTTTGGCTTACTATTATTTACAAGTCTATCTTTGATTCTAGACTATTTCACCTTAGATGTTTCCCTTTGATGAGTCAACTGTTTTGCTCTCTTGTTACCAGCTCATTTGTGTGCACTAATGTGTTATATTTTTGGGCTGCCTAAAGAAACTAACTTGGTCATTACTTCAATGTCAGCCCTGGCTCAGTAGCCTAGAGGTAAATTGGTTTGGTGTTTTCCTTTTGGGCAGGGAGATTTTGGGGGGCTTTTGTGGCACAGTAGTACTATCTCTACTTCTGGGCCAGGAAGGTTAGGTTCAAGTCATACTTGCTCCAGAGGTGTGGCACGACATGTGCGAACGGATGTTTGAAAATACTGAGGCAGAGTGGTTTAATCTGTGATGACACACCTCCAGGGTAGGTGGAACTTGAACCCAGACCTCCGACCCAGAGTTAGGAAGATTGCCACAGCACCGCAGTTACTATTATTACAGGGTTGAGAGAAATCCAGAAAATTACCCTTGTATGCTTATTTCTTGATGCGAATCTTGTCAATCTTAGTGATCATATTGAGGGTGGGCACTTTGCCTGCAGGAAGGCAGGGAGTATTGAGAAACTAACTTTTGCTCCATCTGAATTATTTGGCCATAAATTTTCAACTTTAATGTATTTTGCTTTGCAAAGCCTTCTAATGCACACACTGAACAGTCATATGATCCCTCAGGTCAGGCATCACAATCAGCAGTGATACCCTTCCTCTTGCGTCACACTGCCTCAGCCTCTCAACCACGCACGCCACACAATGGTGAGTAAACCTTATCCTGTCACTTTTGAAATCCTGGAAGTGTACTTGCAGAAATGTTGTCATTGTTAGTTGACTACTTTTCCTGCTTTTAGCAAAATTAACAGGTTCGCAATAAATTGGGCATGGTCTTATATTTGAAATTGACTTTTTTTAATTATTAATGTAAGAAAGCTTTCATTAGCATCTCGGTGGAAACATTACGCGTCTGATAGCTGAGTGTATTTTCAGTACTCACTGTGGAATTAGCCCAGATTATGCACTCAACTCTTTGGGGTGGATGCAAAGCCATAGCCTTTCTAATTTAGTATGAGAATCACCTGTGTAGATCATGGCCAACACCAACAATTAGTATTGGTCTATAAGGAGAGGAACAGTGGATGAATGAGACTGCATGACAGGTCGAATTGGATGGCCTGAAATGCCAGGCGAATGAGAGTTTTTAAACCAGGTATCCATTGCAATCGTTAAGCCTGGCAGTGAAGGTGTGGATGAGGGTTTTAGCAGCAGATACTCCTAAGTTTGAAGTCAGCTATCGTTATCAAAATAGCTGCTCTGCCGTGCCGCCACATCCTTTTTGCCTTGTAAGCTTGCATTTCCCCCTCCTGAACTGCAACCACCTTGTAGAAAGAGCTTTAACTAAAGTCTTTATTTGGTTTGGCAGCATCATTCACCCCTTGCTTGAGTGGACTACGAAAGGCGTTTAGCAGAAAAGATGGCTGAGGAACTGTACAAAATGTTCATGCCTCACTCAGCAACAATACATCTCAGTGAGGAAGAAGGGTTCTAGGAAGGGTATAAACCAACCACAATGATCAAGGATGTCAAAGATAATAAATTGATGGAAAAACACAAAGGGCTTTTTTCCCGGGGGTTTTGGAGGCTGAGGTGACCTTCTAGACGTATGTGAAGTCCTGAGGGACATGGATAGGGTGAATAGCCATGGTCTCTCTCGCCACCCCCCCAAGCGTAGGGGAGTCCAAAACTAGTGGGCATAAGTTTAAAGTGAGAGGGGCAAGATTTAAAATAGACCTGAGGGGCAATCTTTTCGTGAAGAGGGCGGTACATACATGGAATGAGCTGCCAGAGGAGGTGGTGGAGCAGGTACAATTGTGCCGTTTCAAAGGCACCTGAACATGAATAAGAAGGGTTTAGAGGGATATGGGCCAATGCTGGCAAATAGGACAAGATCAGTTTAGGATATCTGGTTGGCGCAGATGAGGCAGTCTGAAGTGTTCGTTTCCGCGCTATATAACTCTGACTCAAATTGGAGAATAGGGAAAATTATATAAACTAACAAAAAATGACCCAAAAATAATAAAAGCAGAAACTATGACCATAAAATAGCAAGTAATATAAAAATGAAAAGTAAAAGTTTCATTATCTGTATCAAAAGGAAGAGAGACCGAAGTCAGTATAAGCCCCTTAAAGAATGAGGCTGGGGAAATAATAATTGGGAATCAGGAAATGGCAAAAGAATTGAATGAATGCTTTGCGAAAATTTTTAGGTGGAGGACTTTAATAGCATTCCAAAGATATAAAATAATCCAAGGGGATGGGGGTGAAGTTGCAATAAATACACTATCACTAAAGAGAAGGTATGAGGGAAACAAGTAAGGCTAAAGGCTGCCGAGTACCTTGGTCTTTTTGCGTTGCATCCTAGGATTTTAAAGGAAATGGCTACAGAGATATTGGACGCACTGGTAGTAGTCCTCCAAGAATCCTTAGATTCTAGAAATGTCCCAGAGGATGAGAAAATTGCCAATGTTATTCGAAAAGGGTGGGAAGTGAAAAATCGGTAGCCATAGACCAATTTAGCTTAACGTCTATCATGTTAAAGTCTGCTTTAAATGATGTAATAGCAGAGCATTTAGAAATCCATAACATGATCCAGCAGAGTCAACATGACTTCATGAAGGGAAAAGCGGGGCTGACAAATCTTAGGATTCTTTGAAGGTGACAGGTGGGATAGATAAAAGGGAGGCGATGACTTTAGTGGTGTTATTGCTAGAATATTAATGCAGAAACTCTGCTAATACTCTGGGGAGACTTGTTCGAATCCCACCAGCAGATGGTGGAATTTGAACTCAAAAGAAAATCTGGAATTAAGAATCTACTGGTGACTATGAAACCACTACTGATTGTCAGAAGAACCCATCTGGCTCTCTAATGTCCATCAGAGAAAGGAGTCTGCCATCCTCACCTGGTCTAGCCTACATGTAAGTCCAGACTCTCAGCAATGTTACCACATTGGTAACATTGACTCTCAACTGTCCTCTGAAATGGCCTAGCAAGCCACTGATTTCAAAGCCAGCTAGAGACGGGCAATAAATGCTGGCCAGCCAAAGATGCCCATGTCCTGTGAGTGAATAGGAAAAAAAGAACCAGTAGATGTATTTGGATTTCCAAAAGGAGTTCAAGAAGGTACCATGGATAAGGCTACTTAATAACCTAAGAGTCCACGGTGTCGGGGGCATTATATTGGCAAACAAAGATGAGCAACTAACAGATAGAAAACACAGTTGCAATAAAGGGGTGGGGCAGATTTTCAGGATGGCAACGTGTAGCTTGTGGAGTGCCACAGAACTCGGCGCTGGGGCCACAATTATTTGCAATGTATCTAAATGACTTCGTAGAATCCTTAGTGTGGAAAGAGGTCATTCGGTCCATTGAGTCTGCACCTACCCACCGATGAGCATCACCTAGACCGAGAGCCCCACCCTATCCCCGTAACCCCACATTACCATGGCTAACCCATCTAGTCTGCACACCCCTGGACACTACAGACAATTTAGCATGACCAATTCACCTAACCTGCATATCAATGGACTGGAAGGATACTGGAGCAGCCAGAGGAAACCTACACAGACATAGGGAGAACGTGCACACTCTACACAGACGGTCACCCAAGGCTGAGATTGAACCTGGTGCTCTGAGGCAGCAGTGCTAACCGAGGTGTTGCCCAAAGATGCTGATTTAAATGAGGGAAGTGAATATACTGTAGCCAGGTTTCTGGATGACATAAAAATAGGTGGGAAAGCAAGCGGTGAAGGTGACGCACAGAATCTGGAATATAATGGAGGAAAATGTGGAGTTGTGTACTTTGGCAGGAAAATAGAAGAGCTGAATATCTTTTAGATGGAGAAAGACTGCATGAATTGCCCAGTGACCCAGCCTTCTCGACCATTTTTAGAGAATTCCACAGGTTCCATATCCTTTGAAGAATTTTTTTCTTCGTTTCCGTCCTAGCTGGCCTACCCCCATATCTTGAGACTACATCCCCAGCCTGGGAAAAAGTCCTCCCCACGTCTAGTCTGTCCAGCCCTGTTGAATCGTTTGTTTCAAATCCCCACCACCACCAAAAACCACCCCCCACCCCGATCCTTCTAAACTCTAATGAATGCAGGTCCAGTCCAACTGATTTCTGTTCATATGACTATCCTCCCATCCCTGGTATGAGCCTAGTGAACCTTCGCTGCACTCCCTCTATGGTATGTATATCTTTTCTCAGGGAGATCAAAACTTCGTGTACAACTGCAGTAAGACATTCCTACTCCTGGACTCCAATCCTCTTGCAAAGACCAAAATACTAATTGCCTTCCTAATTGCTTGCTGCGCCAACATGTCTACTTTCATTGACTGGTGTCCAAGGGCACCCAAATCCTTTTGTACATCCACACTTTCCAATGAATCACCACTTAAATAATCCTTTGCCTTTATGTTTTTCACACTAGTGCATATCTTCACATTTAGCCACATCGTACTGCATCTGTTATGTGTTTGCCAACCACTCAACTCATCTGAGTCATGTTGAAGCCTCCTTGCATCCACCTTATAGCCCACTTTCCTGTCCAGTTTTGTGTCATCAGCAAAACTGGAAACATAGAATTTGGTTCCCTCATCCAGGACATTTTTACATATTGTGAACAGTTGGGATCCAAGCACTGAACCTTGCAGTACCTCACTAGTGATTTTCTGCCACTGGGTGGGGGAGGTGGAGAGGGAGAAAGAGAAAGACAATAACCTTGACCTATATAAGTAATTACAGAAGTTTGAAGCAGGCTGGGAAAATAGACCAAGGCGAAGATCAGTTGACATGGCAGACATTTTAATCAGATATTTTGTAATGCTCAGCAAAAACTTATTCTGGTTAAGAAGAACTTTGAGAAGGTTGAACAACTCCATGGTTAACAAATTCAACCAAGGAAAATATTCAGTCACTAACTATGTCACATAAAGCAGCAGAAACTAGTGGGAGGCCAGAGGCTTGGGAATTTTTTACTAACCTGCAGCAGATGACAAAAAAAGCTAACAAAGACCTGGAGTTGCATTTGTTTTTTAATTCTGTTTTACCCTTCCAGGGATATATAAAAGCACAAACGGGTCTGAAGTTGCTGGCTCCCTGCTGAGTCGGTAGGTGGGTGAGCAGGAGCAGTTATCAACCTCTTATGATCTCCACCCTCTTAGTCTTTCTGTTTTGAGTTTTCTTGAGTATCCCTGATTTTGCCCAGCTTGACGTTCCATAGGTTCACACAAGACTCTGCCAAGCAGTTGCTGAATTTACATCCACGGTCATCTTTTGGCTGGAGTAGCAGTTCCGTTTTAGGAAAAGCATGTTGAAGTTAAAAGTTCAGGAAGTACTTGAGAGTTCTGATCATTGTCATGATGAGAAGAAGCTATGATTTTCATGGTGTTGCACCAAGAAGAATTTCCAGATCAATGTATAAACCACTAGGGGACTTTAGATAATCACCTTTTTGTCTCATTTAACAAATTCATTTTTCAGCACGAGTTGTTAGGAATTACAATTTGAATTTATGTGAATTACAAACTGAAAAATATTTCAAATTCAGATTAACTTCGCTATAACTTCTGAGAAAACTTGTTAAGATTGGGAGCGCATAAGTGATTTTCAAATCATTGGGCTTTATAACACTGGTCATTTGTCACTCTAGGCTCTTCACATCACAATGGAGCATCCTATCAACAGTCGCTGTCCAACCATCCGGGTAATTCAGCCTTTCCATGTATACGTGGAATAAACAACGCAAACTGTTCACTTGGACTGACATGTCTGTGCTGTTGTTTATACTTGGCATGAGTCTCCTCCCAGCTCTTTTCATCAAACCCCATCAATATATCCTTCTGTTTCTTTCTTTCTCCTTTTTATATTTATAGCTTCCCCTCAGATATATCTATCATTTGCTCCATATTTTCATAAATATCTTTCCTGAAGTAAGTAGACCGAAACTGCACGCACACTTCAGTTGCGATCTAACCAAGGTGGTCTTTATTGCGAGACAGTTGAAGTAAGACCTAACTACTGTATTTAAATTGTCTTGCAATAAAGACCATCATTCCATTAGCCTTCCTAATAGCTTGCTGTACCTGCACGTTATCTCTTAATGACTTATCAACAAGGATACCTAGGTCCCTTCTTTATCTACACTTACCAACCCCTTACCATTTAAGAAATGCTCTGCACATCTGTACCTCCTACCAAAACAGGTAGCTCATATTTTTCCACATTGTTCCGTCTGCCATCTTTGTGTCCAGTCAGGAAGCATGTCCAAATCCTTCTGAAGCTCCTGTTCATCTTCCTGCTTAGCTTGGTATCATCTGAAAATCGGGAAATATTGCATTTGTTCCCACCTCCAAATTATTGATAAATATTGTGAATAGCTGGGGCCCAAGCGCTGATCTTTGTCGTACCCCACTAGTCACAACCTGCTAACACAAGAATGATGACATTTATTTCTATTCTGTTTTCTGTCCATTAGCCGATCAATAATTCCTTCTATTACCTCTATTAATCTATTACCATTTACCCAGTGTGCTTTAACTAGCTACCCAGCCTTCCATGGGAATGGAGTCATGGAGTTAGAGTAATAAAATTTTTACAGCATGGCAAAAGGCCATTCTGCGCACATCTGATCATCAAGTATCTATTCGATTCCCATTTTCCAGCGTTTGGTCTGGAGCTTTTTATGCCATAATGTTTTAAGTAGTCCTCCATTTACCTGCCTCTACCACCTTTTTAGCAGTGAGTTCCAGATATTCGCCATCCTCCATGTGAAAGATTTTCCTCAAATCCTCTCCAAATGTCCTGTTCTTTACGTTAAAACTGTGCCCCTAGTTACTGACCCTTCTATTAAATGGAAAACACTTCTCCCTGTCTGTGCCCCTCAAACTTTGAATCTGATCAAAAACCTCTTGAAAATCTAAGTATACTGTGTCCTTCAATCCTCTTTGTAAATTTTTTGTAACATCGTCAAAAAGCTGCAACAAGTTCATCAAACACAATTTCCCATTTGCAAACCATATTGATTATGCCTAACAAGATCATCTTTATCCAGGTATCTATTTATCCCATCCTTTATAATAGATTCTAGCATATCCCCGACTACTGGGCCAAGGAACGGCAGATGGAGTTTGATTTAGATAAATGTGAAATGTTGCATTTTGGTAAGGTAAATCAGGGTAGGGCTTGTACAGTTAATTATAGGGCCCTGGGGAGTGTTGCTGAACCAAGACCTAGGGGTGCAGGTGCATAGTTCCTTGAAAGTGGAGTCACAGCTAAACAGGGTGGTGAAAAGATATTTGGCATACTTGCCTTCATTGGTCATTGCATTAAGTACAGGAGTTGGGTGTCATGTTGCAGCTGTATAGGGCATTGGTGATGCCACTTTTTGAATACTGCATACAATTCTGGTCACCCTTCTATAGTAAGGATTTTGTTAAACTTGAGGGTGCGGAAAAGTTTACGGGGATGTTACTGGGACTAAAGGATTTGAGTTATAGCGAGAGGCTGAATAGGCTGAGGCTTTTTTTACCCTGGTGTGTTGGAGGCTGAGGGGTGACCGAATAGAGGTTTATAAAATCATGAGGGGCATGGGTAGGTTGAATAACCCGGCTCCTTTTCTTAGGGTGGGGGAGCTCAAAACCAGAGGGCATAGGTTTCAGGTGAGAGGGGAAAGTTTTTTTTTAAAAAGGACCAGAAGGGGTAACATTTTCATGTAGAGGGTGGTGTGTGTATGAAACAAGCTGCCAGAGGAAGTGGTGGAGGCTGGTACTATTACAACATTTAAAATGTACCTGAATGGGATGTGAATTAGTGTTTAGAAGGATACGGGCCAAATGCTGGCAAATGAGACTAAGTCAAGTTGGGATGTCTGGTTGGCCCAGACGAGTTGAATCGAAGGGTCTGTTTCCGTGCTGTATGAATTAATAACACTCTGGCTATGTACTAATATACTGCGAGCAGGTCTGTGCTTCCCTGTATTCTTTCACTGCCTTCTTGAATAGTGCAGTGATATTTGCTAGCGTCTAATCTGCAGGAATCACTGTAGTATCGTTGGAATTTTGAAAGGTCATCATATATACATACACTATCTCAGTAGCCATTCCTTCGACACACTGGGATGTAGACTGTCAGGTCCTGGGGATTTATTAATTTTCAATGTTGTTAATTTATTCAGTATAATCTTAGTATTGCTAGTTTCCTTCAGCTCCTCGTTCTCCCTCGTCCCTTGGATCTCTATTTTTGGGAGATGTTTTGTATCTTCCTCAGCTATGGCAGAGCAGACCTAATGGGCCAAATGGCCTAATTATGCTCCTATATCTTATTGTCTGAAATTAGACACAAAGTAATCATTTAGCTTCTCTGCCGTTTCTCTATTTATCAATTTTAAATTCTCCCACTCTACCTGTAATAGATCTGCATTTGTCTAAGCTGAACATATTCTTTATGTACCTGTAGAAGCTTTTACAGTCCGTTTGTTTCTTGCTCGATTGTGTTCATATTCTGTTCCTTTTCTTCTCAGTTTCTTGGTCCTCTTTTCCTGTATTCCGAAAACTTGCCATCTCAGATTTATTACTTTTATTGGCCATTTTATTATATAATCCTTAACTTATCTACTTATATGGAGCCTAGAACTGTGCATAGTAATTGGTGTGCAGCAAACTATCAGCGGTGTTTGTACGAGTGTCAACTTTTTTTTTCCTCTACCCATTGGTTTGTTTGCATCTTCCTCACTCTGTCCTGTCATGTTCACCCTTCTATAGGCCCCGAGTTCTGGTGTTCAATCACATACTTCGAAATGGACATGCAAGTGGGAGAGATGTTCAAAGTTCCCTCTAGCTGTCCAGTAGTGACAGTCGATGGCTATGTGGATCCTTCAGGAGGAGATCGCTTCTGCCTAGGCCAGCTTTCCAATGTACATCGAACTGATGCCAGCGAGAAGGCCAGGTTAGTGTACGTGGTGATATTATGGCTGACTGGTACTATTGCTGTCTCACAGCTGTGTATACTCTCCTTCACCCTAAAAACTAACGTACTTGCGTCAAGTGATGAGAGAATCTCTTCCCAGATGGCTGCATGTTTCTCTTTGGATTGGACATCCAAAGCAACATCGCAACAACTTCTTTTTCTCCGACAGCCTTTTATGTTCTTCCTCGGGGAAGTGGACCTGCATCAAATAAACTGTGACCCTCTGCCCACTGTGAATGTCCCTAAATGAGAAACTTGGAGACTTCTGCTGTTAAATTTTTGTTTTATTGGGTGAATGTTTTACCAAGTGTGATGTCAATCCATACTGAGCAGGAGGTTCCAAGTTTCATCCACATGCCTTGCTGCCAGAGCTGTGGTGTCCGTCATTAGAAGGGATGAAACTCAACAGAATTCTTGTTCATTGACGTGAAAAGTATATCTGTGTGCGCTGAGGGCAGTAAGGCGTTCAGGTAGGATTTTTTTCTTTCCTGGGAGGTGTACATGGCTGGAAAGGCCAGCATTTGTTCCCCATCCTAATTGCTCTTGAACTGAGTGGTTTACTAGGCTGTTGTGGATAGCAGCGACGAAACAACCACATTGCTGTGGGTCTGGAGTCACGTGTAGACCAAACCAGATAAGCATGGCAGATTTCCTTCTCTAATGACATTAATGACCCAGATTGGTTTTGATAATGATCGATGATAGTTTCATGGTCACCATTACTCGGACTCTTTTTTTTTTTTTTTTTTTACAATTTCAGATTTAATGGTTTCTGATGTCAACTGATGTTATTACCAGACAAGTCGGATCTGAGACTGATATCTGTCTTGATAGATTATATTTTATTTTCTTTAACAGGGTGTTCTCTGACTGAAGCAGAAGCTGCAATGCTGCAGATTTGGTTTGAACAATAAAGTAGAAGTTTATTACGCAAAAGAAATGGAGATAAAATAGGATAAACTAAGTTATTTATATATAACACAATTTGAAAGATTTTGGAACAAAGTAAAAATACAACCCTCCATCTATGCCAGCAGCAAACCTTTACAGTGTTCTCACACCAAAGAAAATTCGCTTCCCATCACATTGAAAGGTTTGACTTAACTATTGCTTTCAACACCTGGCCTTGACAGCCTGATAGCCTCTTCGGTGACGATTAACGCAACTGACCTTAGATTTTCTCAGCTGCAAATAACTCCTTCAGGGTTCAAACAAACACTTCTTCTGGTCTGTAACATCAAACTAAGCCTTTACTCATGTTATCTCTTTCAAACTGTTCTGAACTGTCTTCCGTGTTCTGAGAACTGTTCCATACATCCAATTTCAGGACATCTGCAAACTGAAGCCATGAGACTTCTAAGCTGTGTGTCTTTTCCTAACTGATAAACAAGCAATCCCTGATGCTTCTAACTGAAGATAAGGTGATATTCTTCAATGTTTACCCTGTCTGTTCATAAAACTCTCCCCAGTGCAATAGATTCCCATTAGCATTCCAGGACCACGCACACTCGTACTGGTTTCTAAAGAACCCTGACTCAGAAATACTGATCAATTCACCATTAATCTTTCTTCTTTCTTCTGCAATCCATAGCACTAAGAACCAGGTCTTATTAACCCTTACTAACTGCTGCCCCCAAGCCGTTACCAGAAGCATTTGAACTCGTATTGGCTTTTTAGGGCAAAAATTATGGTCAATCTCGAGCTGACCTTTACCCTTTCCTTGTGTCTGTCCAACTGTTTTTCTGTCTCTGGGCTCCGTTCCCACCTATCTTTTACTCCTTTCCTGCCCCATCCCTTGTTTAGCATTTATACCAACCTTTTCATAGCTACAATCGTCGAAGAGTCACTGGACCCGAAACAATAACTCTCCACAAATGCTGCCAGCATTGAGTTTTTACAGCAGTTTCTAATGTTGCTTTCGCTGTTCAGCATCCCCACACTGTTTGGTTTTTTTTTGTTCACAGTCAATCTCAGATTGGCTTTGTAGTCTATGGCTAATTCCCATTGATTTCTTTCAAGTTAATAGTCATCTGAGTGATATTTCTCTACTGTCTCATCATTCATTCTTTGACAAGTTAATCATTTTATATGATAATCCCTTTCATAACAGGTTGAACCTCTGAGGCTTCCATAGATTTTTACCAAGACAAGACGGCACTGGTGAACAGTTGTGTCATCTGCTTATAGTTGTGATGTCACTTTCTAGTGATTGACCGTCGACCCAAGTGACACATGTCAGAATTCTTAAAAAATCTAGCAATGCTCTTCAACTACAAGAGTCATGTGTGACTCCACAATTCACGTTCAAAATAACCATACGTTACAAATAGACCTATTGCATATTTTTGTTACCATTTTCAAAAGTAACTTTTACTTAATGACACAGCTATATCTATTTCAAAAACATTTTTATGAATCAACCTAAACTTTTACATAACCTGAGCCACAAAACTTTTGAATTGGGCCATATGCTTTCTTGCCTACAAAAGCTGTTTAACAACTAACTACAATTAACAATATAATTTAATTCCCCTCATTTAGTGAGGCCAAAGTTATAATTGTTGAAAAGTAACTCAATCCTGCAGAGGAGAGTAAAAATCACTGAGGATGGTCACACAAAGCTTTTCCCAAAAGCTTTTGCCCTTGTATGTATTTCATCCTCCAGAGTTCTTCAGGATATGGAAAATGTCACTTCACTCTTCAAGCAACTCAGCTATTCTCATTTCTCTCGGAGCTCTGAGTCAAATTCACGATGAAACACTTTTTTTGAAGTGTTATGCTGTGGACTGGCGCATATGAAATTAGATTGAGAATGTTGAGGTTAACCTTAATTCCAATTCTCCCTTGGGTCATAGGAACAAAGGAGGGTTATTCATGAAATCGCTTCACTTTTAACCTGAATTGTAACACTGTTCTCAAGTGAATGAACTGTGTATTAACTCTGCATCATTTGAATTTTCTTCTTGTGACAGAATATGGCAGAATTTACTAACCAGTATGTGCGTGTATTTACGAGTATGGCTAATGTGTTTTGTATTTAAAAACTATCAATGGAAATGAAGAATGGGTTTCTGTGCTTTTGTGTAATCCAGATTGCACATTGGTAAAGGCATCCAGCTTGAGTGCCGTGGTGAGGGCGATGTCTGGATGCGATGCCTCAGTGATCATGCTGTATTTGTACAAAGCTATTATCTGGACCGAGAGGCAGGCCGTGCACCTGGAGACGCTGTACATAAAATTTATCCTGGGGCATACATCAAGGTGAGAATGAATTCTTCATTCTCTATTGTGACAAGTATGGAATGCAAAGTTTTCAGTCTAAACTATGCTGTTGCAATGGAGCAAACACTGCAAAGGAAATGGAAGAGAAAGCGAGTTCCCCTAGGTTTTTGTGTATATGGCAGCTTTAACTTATTTGCTTAAGTTTTTATCTATAACAAATTTAAATATTAATTGTCCATCAGATATTTAATTACTAAGATCCATCATAAATTCCACTTTATTTTTGATTCTCTGTTCTCTGTAAACTTCAATTTATGCAAATCTCTGCTTCCTACGTCCTGTCCTGCTTATTCGTCAGCCAATTGTTGCTGACTTGCTTTGCATCCCTATCTCCCAACACCTCATCCTCATGTTTTCTGATCTCTGCAAGCCAAACCCCTCCCTACCACCCATCCTCAGGACTTGGTGTCTCTGATTCTGATTCTCGTTCTTTCTTTTAACCCTTTATGGCACCATTGACAATTGTAGCCCATGTTCCTCTGTAGAACTCTGTCCAGTTCTTTATCCAAACTTTTTCTCTTTATCCTAAGGTCTCCTTCATCTCAGTATTCAATTTTTCATTTCATGAAAAGATTTTGATTCATTCTTTTCTTGTTAAAGATGATCTATAAATGCAAAGTTTTTTTTATCTTTCTATGCTAATTTTAAACAAACGCATTCTCTAAGAACTTTAAAATGGTTTCTGCTACATCCTAAGGTAGATTTAACCTGGTCATTGAGAACAGATGGAATGATGAACACACTATTCAGCAACACTGCTTGGGCAGCTGTTCAAATATTCTAACTCTGAGATGATGGTGTAGCTGGACAATCTGTGCATCAACAGTTGCACTTATACTGCACTTTTAACATAGTCAAGCATCCTAAAGTGCTTAAAGCACATTTATAAAGCAAAACTGATCACGGAGCAGCTATTAATTCATAGGACACAAATGCTGGCCCAGCCAGTGACGTTCATTACCTATTCCTGTTATGGAGAAGGTAATGTTGAGCTGCTGCCTTGAACCATGATTTGCTGTAGTTAGACCCACAGTACCATTGGGGAGTGAGTTCCAGGAGTTTCATCCAGTAACAGTGAAGAAACAATATGTTTCCAAGTCACGATGGTAAATTGCTTAGAGGGGAACTTGTAGGGAGTGGTGCTCCCATTTATTTTTCTTTATTCATTCGTGGCATGAGGGTGTCGCTGGCTAGGCAGCATTTACTGCCCATTCCTAATTGCCTAGAGGGCAGTTCAGAGTCCACCACACATTGCTGTGGGTCTGGAGTCACATATAGGCCAGACCAGCGAGGATGGCAGATTTCCTTCCGTGATGGACATTAGTGAACCAAATGGGTTTTTCTGACAATCGACAATGGATTCACAATCGTCATTAGATTTTTAATTCCAGATATTTATTGAATTCACATTCCACCATCTACCATGGCAAGATTCAAACCCAGGTCCCCAGATTAACAGTCCAGCGATAATAACACTAGGCTGTTGCCTCCCCTTCTCCTTCTAGATAGTAGTAGTTATGGGTTTGGAAGATGTTGTCTCAGGATCTTCGAACTTCTGCAATGGATTTTGTAAATGTTACACATGCAACAGGTGAGCGTAGAATTTCCTTTGTGACAGCACTGTGGATGTACCTACACTGTATGAATTGCAACAGTCCAAGCCTTTGACAAGGTTCCACGTGGTAGACTAATTAGTAAAGTTAAATCACTTGGGATTCAGCGTGAGCTTGCAGGTTGGATGCAACATTGGCTTTATGAAAGGAGACAAAGGGTGGTGGTAGAGGGTTGTTTTTCGGATTGGAGGCCTGTGACCAAAGTGTTCCGCAGGGATCAGTATTGAGTCCACTTTTGTCATTTATGTAAATAATTTGAATGTGAACATAGGCATAGTTAATAAGTTTGTGGAAGACACCAAAATTAGTGGTATAGTGGACAGTGAAGAAGGTTATCTAAGATTACAGAGAGATCTTGATCAATTGGGTCAATGGGCTGAGGAGTGGTAAATGGAGTTTAATTGGGATACGTGTGAGGTATTGCGTTGTGGTAATGCAAACAAGGATATAACTTATACAATTCCTGGTAAGGCCCTGAGCAGTGTTGTAGAACAAAGACCTAAGGGTTCAGGTAGAATTTATTGGAATTACCATCACAGGTAGACCTGATGGTTCAGAAGGCATTTAGCACACTTGCCTTCATTGCTCAGACAGTTGAGTGTAGGAGTTGGGACATCCTTGAGGTTGTACAGGACATTGGTAAGACCTCTTCTGGAGTACTGTGTGCAGTTCTAGTCCCCCTGTTATATAAAGGATGTTATTAAATTGGAGACTGTTCAGAAAAGATTTACCAAGATGTTGCCAGGAATGGAGGGTTTGAGATATAAAAATAGGCTGGAAAGGCTGGGACTTTTTTCACTGGAGTGTAGAGGTTGAGGGGTGACCTTATTGAGGCTTATAAAAATCGTGAGGGGCATAGATAATGTGAATGACGAGGATCCTTTCCCTAGGGTAGGGCAGTTCAAAACTAGGGGGCATATTTTTAAGGTGAGAAGGAGAAAGATTTAGAGGATATGAGGGGCAACTTTTTTAAACCGTGTGTGGTTCAGTGTGGAATGAACTGCTAGAGAAAGTAGCAGATGCAGGTACAGTTATAACATTTTTTAAAAATTAGACAAGTTCATGAATAGGAAAGGTTTGATGGAATATGGGCCAGATGCAGGCAGGTGGGACTAGTTTAGTTTGGGAACATGGTTAGTGTGGACTATTTGGACTGAAGGTTCTTTTTCCATGCTGCATGACTCTGTTGGCTCACTGTTCCTCTCCTAAGGACAAGTAAGGATGGAAACAAATGTTGGCCCAAGCAGCAACATTCACATCCTGTGAAATAATAAAAAAACTCAGGCCGATACTTCATTGAGCATAGAGGCAATGCTACACAGTCAGAGGTGCTGTTGACTATGCTGAGACATTGCAGAGTAAACAGGTTCCAACTTTTCCATTGCACTGACTTAATGAATGAGTGAGGCAGCCTTGTCGTGCTGGCCTGTATTTATCGCTCAATTCTCATCAGTGCAACTAATCTGGTTATTGCCACATTGTTGTTTGTGAAAGTTTTTTGTTTGTATATGCTCTGTTACCTCTGACCACCCTTCAAAACCACCGTGTTGACTGTAAACCAATTTGGAACATCCTAGGGTCACTGTAGATGTGCCAGCACTTTTGTTTTTATTTCAAGGTAAGGAGCAATGTGTTGATTGTTTGCCTGAAATGGGGTGTGACTTGTTTCTGCGTAGGTGTTTGATTTGCGTCAGTGTCACCGACAGATGCAGCAACAGGCGGCCACAGCACAGGCAGCAGCAGCAGCTCAGGCCGCAGCCGTGGCTGGGAACATTCCAGGCCCCGGCTCTGTGGGAGGCATTGCTCCAGCCGTTAGTAAGTATCAATACATCCCACGTACATTTTGCCTGTCTCTGCAGACAGGCAAAAACATTCCACTTCTTTGACAGATGTCAACGATCCCAGGGCAGTGTTCAAAAGAAAACAGGGAAGTTCTCAGAATCCACGTGCATGTTTGTCCTTGAACAAGTGTTTCTAAAAGAATTGTGAAATGCTTTAGCACTGCCTAAAGTGAGAAATTTAATCAGGATGAAAATTTGTCCATTTCCTTTTTGCATCAATGTTGAGATGGAATCCATTGTTTTGGAACTTTATTCTTAAGTCAGCCCCAAACTGAAAGGAAAGTTGAACATTCAGCTTTCTGAAGACACTTCATAAGTTGGATTGTCGCTTGAAGCTTAAGGAAAGAAACAATATTTCTGTGAGTGTTCGATTGGACGTGCCCAAACTTTCATTAGAGAAGGAAAAGGTAGAATTAGAAAGAGAATGAACAAACTTGAATTCAAAAGGGAAAGGAGAAAATTAGAAAGGGTTTGAATTGAAATTATAAAATCTTGTCATAAAAGCATTGAATGGAAAACTTGAGGATGACCAAGATTAAACTCCATGTATATTTTAATACATAGATTCGTAGATTCATACAGCACAGAAAAGGATCTTTGGCCTATTGAGTGTAGCTACTACTAAAAGGACGCTAATCCAATTTCCTGCACTTGTCTCTTTATGCTTGAATGTTATGATATTTGAAGTATCCAGATATTTTTCTAAAGGTTGTAAGGTCTCTGGTCTCCACTACCTTCCCAGACAGTACATTCCAGATTCCCACCACCTGCTGACTGATAGTTTTTTTTCCTAAGACCCATCTGAATCTTCTATCACTTAGTCTAAAACTATGCCCCCTCATGATTGACCCCTCAACCAAGGGAAGTAGCTGCTTTCTATTCACCTGTCCATACCACTCATCATCTTAGACATCTCAGTCATGTCCCCCCCTCCATCTTCTCTGTTCTACAGAAAACAATCTGAGCTTATCTAGTATCTCCTTATAGCTCAATTTCTCCATTCCAGGCAACAACCTGGTGAGCCTCATCTGTACACCTTGTAGTACAATCACATCCTTCCTTTAGTGGGGTGACCAGAACTGCACACAGTACTCTAGTTGCAGCCTGATCAACGCTTTGTACAACTCCAGTATTACCTCCTTGCTGTTATACTTTTATTCCACAACTGATAAAAGCAAGTGTCCCATATGCTTTCTTAACTATCTTATTTACAAGCACTGCCAAATTCAGAGATCTGCGAATAATTACCCTAAGATCCCACTGTTCCTCTAAGCAACTCGCTATCCTGCCGTTCTTTTAAATACTCCCTCATCTTGTTTCTTCTTCCAAAGTGCATCACCTCGCACTTCCCAGGGTTAAATATCATCTGCTCATCTGGTTATTTTTGTAACCTACAACCATCTTCACTGTTAACCACTCCACCAATCTTGGTGTCACCTGCAAATTTGCTTTACATTCCTCCCAGATTTTTATTTGTTATAAAATATAAATGATATAAATAATGGTCCCAGTACTGATCCTTGTGGTATACGGTTAGACAATCATTCAAACAGTGTTCTAGCACTGCCATTTGTGTCCTATTTCTAAGCCAGTTTCTGATCCACCCTGCCAATTTTCCCTCAGTTTCATGTCCTTTTACCTTCTCAGTTTCCCACGTGGGACTTTGTCAAAAGCTTTGCTAAAAACCAATATCGCTACATGAACTGAACTTGCCTCATGGACACTCTTGATCATGTTTTCAAAAATTTCTAACAAATTTGTTAGGCATGATCTCCCTCTGACAAAACCATGCTGACTATCCCTAATTAACCCATGTCTTTCCCAGTAGGTATTAATTCACTCCTGAACTTTCTCCAACTGTTTCCCTACCATTGATGTGAGACTCACCAATCTTCGATTTAGACTCCCTACAATGTGGAAACAGGCCTTTCGGCCCAACAAGTCCACACTGACTCTCTCAGCATCCCGCCCAGACTCGTCCCCCTATAACCCACCTAATCTACACATCCCTGAACACTATGGGCAATTTAGCATGGCCACTCCACCTAGCCCCCACATCTTTGGGCTGTGGGAGTAAACCTGAGCACCCGGCAGAAACTCACTCAGATGTGGGGAGAATGTGCAAACTCCACACAGTCGCCCTAGAGTGGAATTGAACCCAGGCCCCTGATGCTATGAGGCAGCAATGCTAACCAGTGAGCCACTGTGCCACTCAATGTCTATAATTGCCTGGTTCATCTCTACTGCCCCACTTAAGAAGTGGAACCACATTAGCCATCCTTCAGTCCTGTGGCAGTTACCCCATGGCCAGAGAGGAATTAAAAAATTGTGTTAGAGCCCCTGCAATTTCCTGCCTCACCTCCCACAGCAACCTGGGATGCAATTCATCCCGGCCAGGGGATTTTTTTTTTGTTTTTAAGCCTGACAGAGCCTTCAATACCTCCATTTTCTATGTCAAACTGCGCGAGTTCTTCACAGTCCCTTTTCCTTAATTCTGTACCTATGTTCTCCTTTTCCAAAGGGAAGACCGAAGAGAAGTATTCATTCAGCACCCTTCCAGCATCCTGGGGCTTCACACACAGGTTGCCCCCTTGGTCCCTAATGGGCCCTACTCTTTCCCTAGTTAAACTCTTCCCTTGATTGTATGTATAAAATACCTTCAGATCCTCCCGAATCCTGTTCACAAGTCCTTTTCCATACCCCCTTTTAACATTTCTAATTGCTTTCTTAAATTCCCTCCTGCACTTGCTGTATTCCTGTAAGGCCACAGCTGAATTGTTCACTTTGGACTTGATAAAAGCCTTACTCCGCTTTATCCAGTCCCGAATTGTCCTAGATATCCACGGTTCTCTGAACTTATTGCTCCTACATTTTCCTCTAAAGGGTGTTGGACCTGCACTCCCCCAGTTCCTTTTTGAATGCCCCCACCATTGCTCCGCTGGATACATTTCAAGAAATCTGTTCCCTCTGAACCCTTTATACTGTGACTATCCCAAGTTATGTTGGGAAAGTTGAAACCACCTAGTGTAATTACCCAATTATTACTCTTGCACACCTCTGTGAACTGTCTACATATTTGCTGTTCTAGTTCCCACTGACTCTTTGGGGTCTATAATACAAGTAAAGTAAAGTAGCTGCCCCCTTAACATTCCTAAGTTCTACCCACAAAGCCTTGTTTGAGGACCCTTCCAAGATATCATCTCTCCTCATTTCAGTAACTGACTCCTTAATTAATAGTGCTACACCACCACCCTTTTTACACCCCTTTCTGTCTCTCCTAAAGATCCTACACCCTGGAATGTTGAGTTGCAGTCCAGTTCTTCCTTCAACCATATTTCTGTGATGGCAACAATATCATACTTCCTTGTGATAATCCATGCCATGAACTCATCAGTCTAATCTATGAGAGATAGTAGGAACTGCAGATGCTGGAGAATCCGAGACAACAAGGTGCAGGGCTGGATGAACACAGCAGGCCAAGCAGCATCATAGGAGCAGAGAGGCTGACGTTTCGGGCTTAGACCCTTCATCAGAAAAGGGGGAGGGGAAGGGGGTTTTGAAATAAATAGGGAGAGAGTGGGAGGCGGATAGAAGAGGGATAGAGGAGAGGATAGGTGGAGAGGAAACAA